GCGCAGTTAAAAGAGGCTCAAGAACAACAAAAGGCCAATGCGGATGTCTATCGAAAGGAACAACCATCATTCGTCTTGGGTGATAAGGTATGACTACTTCATCGCAATATCAAGACCACTCGTCCTTGTGACAAGTTGGACTATCGAAGGCTGGGACCATTTTCTATTTCTGTACAAATCAATCCAGTTGCATATCATTTAGATCTACCAGAGTCAATGAAAATCCATCCAGTATTCCACATGTCTCTTTTTGAACCATACAAGATAGTGGACATATCAAGAAGACGACAAGCTCCACCTCATCCTATAGAAGTGGACAATAATGAAGAGTTTGAAGTAGAAGAAGTCTTAGATTCAAGGCGGCGCCAAAATAAATTAGAATATCTTGTCCATTGGCGCGGATAAGGTATTAGTGAATGCACATGGAAGCCAATAAAGAATCTTGCAAATGCAGCAAAGGCGGTGGAGGCTTTTCATCGACGACATCTATCAAAATCAAGATGAAAACCTTCTTTATAAAAGAAACAACATCTAGGCAAGATAACATTCTACTTTCAATTCTTGTTTGTAGCTTTGTTGTAGTAGTGGCGCTCAGGAGATGGAGAACCAACAACCAATGGATTCAACTCAAGAGCCTTCATTTGCTGACCTGTCGGATGAGACATTACGATTGTCACAACCTTTAAGACGACACAATCGAGATGAAGATCTTCAAGAATGACATGTTCTTCTTCGAATAGATGGTGAGATACAATGCGTTTGGTATCACGATTTGGGAAGGGACTCTCGATGTTTGGTGATTTTGCTAGACGTAGGAATAACTCCTGATGGTGTTCCAAATATTCTATTTGAAGGAAGTTACGAAGGCCTCAACAATGATCAAATAACTGGGTGGTCTTCCCGCCCTGGTATGGGACACTACCGATGGTTGAAAGGCCCTATCAATCATCTTCGAAGAGAACAGAGATCAGAGTATGTGGCGAATACAATTCGTCGCATCATAGATTTTCTCAACATATGATGACCGCTCCTCGTGGAACTCGTGCCTAGAAGGGGGGGTAATGTCATGGCCATAATCATGTAAGCTAATAATTACATATAGAAATAGGTAGAAGTAAGTAAAAGTAGGTAAAAGTAAGTTAATTCTATAATATTTAATATGGATGCTTCCTAAAAACTTCTTAGATACTGCTTTGACTTCATAGGTGTCTTTAATTGACTTTTTGGATTAGAAACGTGGTCAACAAGTTGGCCATGTGCCACACATGTTGTTAGCTTGAAGATCAAGTTAATTAAGTGGCCCACACGTAGAAAAACTTGCCTTGTAACTCAAGGCATGTGCCCTACAAAGTCAACACATATTCGAGGTCCTATAGAACGTCACCATGTAGCCCCTATTTAGAGAGTATATATAGAGACAAGAATAAAGGCTTCTTCACTCTTGTCAACTCCTTTCTTGCTTCTAGTCTAGTTTCAAGGGTCTCTAGTTTTCTTGTCTTTTGGCAATAGCCATTCCAGTTCCTCTTTCAATATATATACTTGTTTAGATATATTTTGTTACCTCTCTTTCAGTAAAGGCTCACTTGTCTGAATTGTTTTTTCATCGAGTTCTTGTCCTTGACATTATTCTACAACTTACAAAATTTTAAGACTTAAATTATACAAAATACCAAAGATCAAGTGTGTTTGTAATTTGTATAATTAATGTCTTTACTTTAAACTCTAATTTTTCTAGTTTTTTGAAGTAACAATCTTACAAATGATTAGAAAGTTATTTATGCGGACATCTCATAAAAGTTTGAGGCCCTAAAAAATTTACATTAACATTTAATATTGATCAAAATAATAGATATCAATCACTTAACAACAATTTTTACAAAGTGGCTATGAATCTCATATATATTATTTATCATTGCCAATTAAATGCAATGAATAAATCTACTACACCTTAGTATTTTATATGTTTATGTTTTATTATTTGCATCCTCATTGTGACTACGAAAAGTACAAAGAATTTGATTAATACTTAGACTTTATAAGCAAGATGTGTAATCAACCTTAGATGTGATATATGGCCTTACTAAGATATGTGCAACCAAATACACAACTAATAGTGGCTATAAAGTTACAAACATTTAGATTGAATAGTTCAACAAATGTTATTTGATACTTGTAAAAAAATCAAAACTTTTTGATATAAGACTATTTAGATTATAAAGAACATTACATGCATGATCCAATTACACCTCAATAAGATGCAATAAGTGTAATACAACTTGACTTTTGGACTAAAGAATATGTTATAAAAAGAGAAACATAATAATAGAAATTGGACAAAGATTCATGACAAATTTATTACAAACAAATAGATATAGAGGTAGCAGATGTAAAAAACTGTAGAAATTAGATGACAAAAGAAAAAATCATCTAAAACGAGTATGGGTGGAATTTTGTATAGTAGCTTCATTCATCCTAGTATCTACTTTTGAAAAGATAGTGCAAAAGTCTTAGTCCAAATTGATCTTTACCTATTGGTGACTAAGAAAACATTTCTTTTCTTAGTTTCATCCCTATCTAAACCTTCTCTAGGACTTCTACTTGAGCCACATCATTTGCTTGGGATTATTAGATATTAATACTATACTTAATACTCACGGCTCTATTTTAACAAATCTAAGCTACATAATTGTATCCTAACAAATCTCAGCTATGGAATTCCTATATTAAATAATAAACTTAGCAATAGTCATAAATTTGTCTCTTTTGTACTTTTTAAAGAGAGTCTTGGATACAATGAGCATGGCTATCTTTTATACAAAAGAAGAGAGTCTTAGGCAAAAGAAAGGAGCAAACACATTTTGAAGTATAATGATTCAATTCATCCGCATCAAGCTATAGTAATGAACACATTACATAGAGTAGATTGATACTTGACTAAATTAATTATCACATGACCATAGATATGTAGCTTTAACAAAATTAGAATGTGGCTTTAACAACTTCCTATATATTTTATTAAAGTCTTCTAAGATTAACTATGCATTGAGTTTTATGCTCTAAAAAAATACTATATATAGTTAGAAAGTTGCTTATTATGTGTTTGACTAAAATAATTAGAAGTTTTCAAATAGTATTTTGTTATTGTTGATTCTTAATTGATGAAATTATTTTTGTTTAAGATGGTAATTAAATAACATGGAATTTAGTGTTATTTATTATTATTTGGATTTATACTTTCAAAACCATAATTTCAAGTTAAATCTTATTTAAATATTAATAGTCTTTTCAAAGAAAGTTGGTAATATTTTTTGACTTATGAAATAATTTACTATAATTATTAAATGATTACGATAGTAGAAAATAAGTTATTTATCATGTTAGAGTGTATAGATTGTATTTATTTAATTTTATAAGTTTTATAAATATTGGTTGATATGAATTTTAAGAAGAATATGGATGAAATAAGTTTAAATTATTTAATACTTATTAAAAATTATAATTATTCTTATACATAAAATAGTCTTTAAAAATAATCTTTAAAAAAACTCAAAATTTGATATCAAGTTGTAAACAACTTTTATTTTTTCAACAATCTTCTTAAGGCATAATATCATCATAATCCATTTGCAATTATTATAAATAATTGATATTATTAGAATTCAAACTTAAAAAATTCTTTATAAAATGCATGTTTTAAAAATAATTGATATACATAATTGCTAGTATATCCACATGTTGATTTTTAAATTTTTAAGGTAATTTTTAAATTTTAAATTTATAAATAAACTTTCTTATCTAAAGTGGATTATCCAAGTTGTCTAATAATCTTCCAACTAGAAGTATTAATGACTTTAGCATCACATAGTAAACTAATTTTTTCCAAATAAAATGTATTGAATAATATTAATTTAAAATCTAGGACAATTACCTTACATGATAATAGAAATATTATCTATTTAACTTCTTAATAAAACTAATTATTTTTGTATCCAAATATACTATATATAGAATATAGTCCTACTAAGACAATCAAACAAACTATTGTATGAACTTCAATGTTATTACATTTAGTATATTGATTTATTTTAATGTGGTTGAAGATCTTGCCAATATATTACAGTATATGCTTTTAAAAGTAAATAAATCCATGTCATCTTTAGATATATTGAAAATTTCTTTTTTTTTAGTAAAAAATTATAACATCAATTTTAATGCTATAAAAAAAACATCCTGTCACGTATCTCAATAGAGATTAATGTTAATTAAATTCTCAAGTAAGTGATGTTGAACTAAATTAAAATTGTCTATTGGATTCAATCTAAAATTAATATTGTATGTTTAATACATATACATACTTTAGCAAAACTATTAAAACCTTAAATAAGTGTTTATTTGTCTTTTTTACTTGAATATTAAAATTAAGCCTTTATTTGGTGAAATTAAGAATAATTTTATATAGGTTTATTTAAATATATTGGATAATTACTTTTTCTTTTTAAAAAACCCCAAATTGTGAAATACATATATGTATATTAAACCTACTCTTAAATAAGTATATCAAAGTAGTGTAAGAAATATTCAATTATTTTTTTAGAATAAGATTTATTAAAATTTTAAATTAATCTGTTTTTTATTTTATTTTCTTTTTTTGGTGTTTTTTAAATTTAAAAAAAAAAAAAAAAAAAAAAAAAAAAAAAAAAAACTATGACATAATGTCACTTTTGAGAAAATGTTTATCAAAATTACAAGACACAAAATGTCTTTAGTGAAGGATAGATTGATCCTCAGAAAAAATTGAAACTCATTCTAAACCAAGAACAAAATCATGAATTGCCACAAAATAAGTTTAAATAAAAAATCTATTAAATTATTGGGATTTGGTTTCTCCAACAAAAGATCCAAGGTCAATAAAACAATGAAATCATGATTGATAAAAATGTTCTTTGAAAAAGAAGGCACAACATAAAAATGTCCTGATACTTATAATCTTACCCATGAATTATCCTCATACTCATCATATCATTGTTATTCATTTGTAAATGAGAATGCTTGTAATACAATTAATAACCCTACATCAAAATGTTCCAAGCAATGCCTTCCAATTTTGATTTCTACCACTCATAAAAATCAGCGACCACAACAGAGCAAATTTTCAGCAAACATCCTAATTTTATATATCAATTATTGAGACCCTCCACTCAAAAAGAAGTCAAATAAGAATAGGCAGATCAAAATTAATTGGTACACGGAGGAGTTCACAGATGCCGGTTTCTCTCAGCAGCATACGACCGGTGATAACAGGTAAGTTTCGAGCTCCTGACGCCAAACCCTAAATTGATACATCCGTCTCTCGTGACTAGTGGTGGTATTTCTCCCCGCGAAGAATTGTCCATGCCCTGCGAGCGAGGGAGAGCCCATTTTCTTAGACTGAAAAGGCGACATTGCGTGCGTGAATCAGCCATTTCAGGTACCAAGGATGAAGCTTATGCGAGGCATTATGTTCATAGGCAGACGAAAGTTTAAAAGGGTGCGTCACGATTTGCAAACCTGTAAATCTGTTCGAGAAGCACCAGGAAGGCAATCTGATGGTTGAGCACCATTGTCGACAGCTTCACGCTCACGTTCGCACGCTCACGAACTTGGGGCCCGTGCCCAAATGGTCCTCCGATGCAGAACACAATCGCGCTGGCTCCCTGCATGCGTACAAACATTCATCAGACGGTGACTTTACATGTATTCATTCACCGTGGATCTGATAACAGGTTTAACAAACGGCATTTAGCTTTGATGATGGCCAATGCCAACCCACAGTTTCCCCCGCATCGGCAACCAGGTCGGCGAACTTCTCAGAGGTCAGTTCTTTGCCGCGTTCGTCCAAAATTATTACCTGCCAAGCGGTTCAAAGCTTAGATCTCAATGATGCAGTTGTTCCCTGCACAATGAACCCAAATTCTGTTTTCCTTATCTGATGGAATAGTTGGAGAACTCATGAAGAGTTGGATATTGGATTAAGGGGGCAATCGCTAAAGGAGGAAAAGGGATAGATGGCTCCCACCGTTTGAAATATTTTTTCAATAACTGTTTCGAAACCATTGGAATCGATGAAATTCGCGGTTCTGCTTGCTGTTTCCAGTTGTACTGATTGGATAATCGGAGATCGAGAGTGTATGAAAGCTTACCCAGTCCTTGGTCGAGATGGATCGCATCACACGTTCCCCCTCGCTCGAAACCTGTGTAGGGACATCGCTGTCATACCATCGCTTCAACTTCAGCAAGACATCATTCTTGGGCACTGAGCAGCAGCATTCTATGAATCTGTGACTTTCGCCTTTGCACATGCAATATTAACAAGCGTGGTGATGAGTTGCAAGCGCACCTGGAGTTTTTAGGGTTTGGGCGCAGCTGAACTTCCTCAAAAGGACAATAACGCTGAATTTTTTTGATGTACTCTAGAGCAACATTCTCCAACGCGGCACCCCTGTCTTTGCCCACTGTCACCAACTTCATTGGCATTGGTCTCTGCATTTGCTCCACGGAACATCTCTCAATAAACCAATCAACAGCGATATGGTTGTCAAAGCCAAAAGGGTTCAGGCCGGGTTACAAGTACGTAGGACATTGTGATCACGCTCTTAACACACGTCTTGTTTTGATGGCTCTAAACTCACGTTTGGTAGCCTACAGAGGATTTGATTTCTGGGATCACCTACAGAATGTTTAAATTGCCAACCGCAAAATCAATGCTCTAAGGTGCACTTCAGAATCAGTAATTAGGTTCCCAGAACTGCCCTCCACAGGAAAGGTCGAATGCATTGGTAACAACGAGTTAGAGGGTCGTCCTTACTGTAGCACGCGGAAATCGAGTTTGTTGGTTTTGCTGGACATGGTCTCTTCTTGCTATTTCATCTCAAAGCATAGACAAGTGAGTTGAGAGAAGGAGAAAATAGCTTAATGTAGAAACTTCAGAAGGAGATGTGCTTGATTGAATCCACGACGATACATGTGCAATTCCTTCTTTAACACCCCAAATCCAGAGAACACTGACTTCAAGGATAGAGCCATCACCTGCATACACAGATAGCCGCCAAGGAGGCTGCTGCACAAGCGCAACCATACTGCGAGAATAATCCACCAGCAGATTAAATTGCGCGTGGGTTTACGAAAATGAACAGATACTGTGATTTTGTGGTAACAACGGCTACGGACTGAGCAACTTGCGATTGAGTGGGATAGGTTGGGATAAGTTGGGAAAAGGCCAATGAGCAAAATCTCCTTAAAAATAGGTCAACCAAGCTGCCATTTCTGCACCGTTGGCAGGTCTTTAGTGTAGATGCGAGGTTAGGTTCCTTCAAAATACCAAGTGGACTACTTATCTTTCTATTTTAAGACATTCGTGTGAATCGGTGGCAAATGTTTGACTGTATGGCACTGTTCAACTCAAGGAAATGCGCGTGCTACAATTTTTTCCTTACTAATGGTTAAATACAGCCGATGCTCATTGACCTACTCTCCTGTTATCAAACCAACACGTGCTGACGCTGTCATCGTCTCGAGATTCATATTCCTACTTTATTTTCCTGTTTATCTTCTTCTCGATCTGCAATCTGTCCATCTGAATCTTCGAGTTTTTTTTGTTGCTTTCGATTGGGCATATATAGAAGAGATTACAGAAATATATCTCATCTTTTTCTTTCCGATTTTCGATTTCGCACAGGGTTCAGTTTAGGGCTCTGATTTAGCACTCCCTTCTTGCTTTTCTTCCGCATTGTTTCTTGCCGTCCTCGTTCCGCCCATTGAAAACATTCCGAAATTTCAACTTCCTTGATTGGATTTCAGGTGCAGAGGATCTTGCGATCATGGCGATGAGAGGGATCCTTTTGGAGGGCTCGCTACTGGGTGAATCAGTATCTCTGGAGAAATTGTTGACAAGACTAGCTTATTCAAACCTCCATGTCGTAAGAACTTCTTATTTCTCTGCTCCGTGCATCCTGTCTTCACGCTTTTCCTTGTTAAATTACCACAAAAATGCCACCAGTGAGACGTAGCACGAAGCCACGGAATTTAGATATTTCAACCTTTGATATGCGCTTTCGATCACTTTGTACCGACATTAGATCCCTTTGAGCTCTCAATCCCTGCTGGGCGACTGGGGTTAGCATCCTATCTTGTAGAAACAGAAGAGTCCATTGCTAGACTGGATCATTTTATACTTTACAGGCATTTCAACTTACGTGTTTTGTGAATTCTAGGCTTATTGTAGGTCTGCTTTGCTTCTGGCCGTAAGTACTATCACCTTTATCTTAGTAGCGGGATTCAGGAATTTGTTGGAAGAGTTAAATTTTGAGTCCTGTGAGTTTATTCCGTCTTCTCAGCTCTTGTGAACTGAGCTTGGATCTCTTGTAGTTCGTGCTTCGATACACAACTGTAAAACACGTGGAGATCTTAAATGCATCAATATCATCGCAGCCCGTAAATGTTTGCTGCACAATGCGGAAGCATGAACGCTGCAATCTAGTTACGAAGACTAGACACTGAGTAGTAACGTTTAGAGGTGTTGTGGGCCCTACCCTTTAGTTTTTATCTTCCGCTTGCGATAACATATCTGATGTACAGAACTTGATAAGAAGGGTGTTGTATGCTGTACAGATGTTGCTCTTCACTAATGGGCAGGATCCCTCTGAAAAGGTACGGAAGTTTTTTGAGTGTTCGTTTTTGGCCAAATGCCTATCTTCAGACTCGCGCTATCCGCTTGAAAGGCGTTTGTAAAATTCAGTTTGGTCTTCTTAATTTTTTCCTTGGTTACGGACTGCAAGACAGAGGCTTATAAGCTCTATCAAGCAGAGTCCACAAAAATTGATGCTATCTTTCTCCACCTTGAAGTTGGTCCTAGTAAACACAAGATTCTGAAGTGTAGGAGTTGGTATCTGCAGGTGGATCTGCTGAAGCAGTTGTCCGTGTCAGAATTTGTGAAGGTAGTGTCTGTAGACGCCAACGAAAATGTACTCAAGGCAATCAAAGAATCTTGGCCAGTGCAGGCCTCCCATTCTGTGTTTGTGGCTTCAACTGATGGAGCTGCTGTGACTGAGCTAACAGCGTCAGGCTGGAACATCCTTTACTCAGGTTTGCAAGTGACTGGATCGTAATGTCTTGCAAAGAATACTCATCTGCTCAATGAGCAATACGTGCAACATTTTGTTGGGAAAGTAAGGAGAAGCGGTTGATAACTGACTTTATTGCTGTTTAAATTCACATCCAGAGTCTAGGATTCTATTTTGGGCTTTATAACGCGCAGAGACTACACTAGTGCCTGTAGTCTCTGCCCGTTAGGTGCCGTGAATGAGAGTACATGTTATTCACACTTGAAGTTGAGGCCAAAGTAATGCTAGATTTTAGTGTGAGGTGGAATTGAAAGTTTTCTTTTAGCTATAATTTTACTTTAGAGCTTTATTCTGCATAGTTGGGCATACGACAGCTACTCTATAAAAAATGTCTGGACGTCTCATGCAGGGCAAGGAGTTGCCAGTAAAGAAGCGTCCACCATTCAGGACATAGACGACGTATTTGCAGCTTTAGCAGAATTAAACAAGAAGGTTCGAACTTTTCTGATTGTCACAACAGAACGTCTTTGATAATACACTGGTATTCTTTTGTGTTTTTTTGCTTATCGTATGGAGTGTTCTATTCCATCTACTTAGCTTACAAAACAAATAAAAAAATTTGCACTTTCAGTTTCTCTCTGAGTTGCTTCATAATTACAACTTGTTGCTGAGCAGGCCTTTGGAGTGGAATTACTTGTTGTCGGCCACGTGATGAAATGGAGCCGGGAGAAGGACTTCTTGAAGGTAATCCCTTATCTGATACTTTCTCCACTCTTTACTCTGGCGGTATTCTTCTGCCATTTTGAAAGGTACACATGTTTTCCTTTCATGGTTTACATGATCTGTAAAATACCATCACATAGCATACAAGTTCTGTAAATTTTGATTCTAAAGAAATCGTACTTCTGCACTTCACTTTATCATTTTACATCATTTAAAGTATTTTTCGTTCTTCAGAGGCGTATGCTGCCATCAGTACCCACAAGCAACGATTTGGTTTTCGTCCCACTTCGCACAGACCGCCCCATGGAGACACAGCTAGATGCTGTGGATATTATTCTGCACAAAGCAACGGATGAAATCGTTAGTGTTACTACGATACAAACCCCAAACCCTGCAGAACGCATCCAGTACTCAGATAGCATCAAGACACTCCAGAGGTATCAGTTCGAGGATTTTCAAATCGTACTGTCGCTCTCCGTAGCTTTATTTCGTAATTCTGGCGAGCCTATGTGTTTGGACCGCGAAAGAACCTTCACGACTTTCGCAAATGTTTGTGAAGGACAATGCTAAGTAGTTTTACTTGTGCAGATATATTGAAGAGCACCCTGGGAAATGTATTGTTGACCCAATTGACCGGCTCGCGCCTATATTAGATCGATCTCTGACCCGTGAAGTCTTGAACGATTTGGAAGATGCGAAAGTTAGTGATACCACCGTTGTCAGAGCACCTCGATCTGTGGAGGTAACGTTAAGGCCATATGTTACAGATGGTATCGTTATTTGGTGATTTTCATAAATGTAGTTATGGTGTTGGAAAGAAAGATAACTCTTTCGTCTGACTTGAGAGACCTTACAGGTGGAATGATTCACATTATAGGTGTTTGTTGGAACTGATTGGATGATTATAGAGTCTAATGATAACATTGGCTCTTTCTTGTAGGTGAAAGACTTGGAGGAACCCCATTTGACAGAGGCAGTCAGTGTGGGTTTTCCCACGATTGTGAAGACCATGATGGCTTGTGGGACTAACGATGCTCACACAATGGTATTCTTACTCTGTGCAAACTCTCCTCTTTTGTTATTTAAGTGCGTCTTTAGTATTTCTGACTCAGGAAGAGTCTTTATATTTGTTGATACATGCAATTTAAAGCAGCTTTTTTACGGTATGTGTCTGAATGCAGGCTGTGGTGTTCAAGAAGGAAGGCTATGTGAATTTAGCTGTGCCTCTTCCAGCTGTGGTTCAGGTTTATCATTACTTTCGACTTATCAGTTCTATGCCGTTACTGCCCTAGATTTCGAAGTCACCGTAGGAACGTTTTAAGATAATTTTGGGATTCTGATGGTTATTTGTGGTGCTGAATCATGTAGGAGTACGTTGATCACGGTTCATGTGTTTATAAGTTCTATATTATTGGCGATAAGGTGATGCATTCTTGTCGAAGATCCATGCCAAATGCGGCTTCAATGGCCGTATCAGATGGTTCGTCTGGGGGTATGCCAGCATTGGTGTTTGATAGGTATGACCCTACAAGCTTTACGCTAGCTTGGAGAATTGTCTTGCTTTTATATGTCACGAATGGATATACTGGATAAAATATGTTTGCCATCTCCTGGGTCCAAAAAGAGATGCATCTACCAGAGTCGAGCTGAAATATTTTCTGCTATAGATTTGTGCACCTAGTTTAGGGGCATTCCGAGTGAGTACTTTGCAGATAAGCCGTTAAGCTCCTGTGACGTAGCTGGAAATACCCTATGTAAGGGCCATGTTGGTCTTGTTTTTGGAAATTTTCTTTTAAAAAGATTGGAATATAATCTGATATTCTGCACAATGCCAGCCTAAAATCAATGCCTTCAAGTTTTGAGGGCGACGGCAAATTACTTTCGAACACGGTGGTGGAAGGAGATGGAAGTTTGGACGTGGAAGCTGTGGAGAAAGCAGCGGTATGGCTTCGCAAGAAACTCGGTCTTTCAATCATCGGCTTCGACATTGTGGTAAGTCCTCATTCAATTTTGCCAACTCTTGGTAGTTTTGAGTACCCCTAGACTTTGATTCCCATTCTCGTAATCTAGGCTTCTCTTGGAGTGCATATCAATAACATACTCTTCTGCTTTAGGCCCTTCATGCAGCCTGTAAGTTTTATTGACTAGGAGCATCAAGTCATTTGTGACTGGGTTTGGGTTGGCTGGGTTAAATACAGGTTCAAGTGGGAACTAAGGATCATGTCATGGTGGATGTCAACTACTTCCCCTCTTTTAAGGATGTTTCTGATAAGGAATCCATTCCTGCTTTCTGGGCTACACTTCGTAATGCTCACGCCAGCAAGACGGCATCCACTTAAAATGTATCACTAATACTTATTAAGTTCATATTGCCTTTTAGTACTTCCCACTTTGAATTTGATGAGGATCAAAACATTTGTACTCCAGGGGTGTCGGGGATGAAATTTTGGTAAAAGTGCAAATGCCCGCTCAGTAAACGGAGTAATGGACTGAGCAATTCCTAATCTCAATAATCCCCGAAGTGCAATATTGTTTCAATTGTGGATCTTCCACTGGCTAACTGCATGTATTCGTTGGAAAGCTTTTGAATGAGCCTTCCATTGGTTCAATCCAATTTCCTTTTGGGACACTTTTGTAAGGAGTGGTATGGCTTTGGTCTTCAATTCTCATTAAACCTATAAAATAGTTATAACTGCTCTAAACAAAAATAAATGCCTATGCTCCCTCACTCAACTACTTCTAGTACTTCAAACATTCCTTCAAGATTTAACTGGACAATTAGTAAAACTTTTGCTGACCCCCACACCCATCAGTTTCACCTTAAGTACTCTGCCCGTGCTTTTTGCGGCCAGGTTAACTTCCGTGCAGAGGTTGTACAAGTAAATGCCCGGCATTCTGCAAGCCTGCGCTCATGGAAGCCACTCTCTAATTGACTCAGTCCACAGCTCATTGTTTCTGTTCACATGTGAGGCCGGTGCTTCCCGTCGCTGAAAAGTTGGTCATGTCACCATTATTATGTTCAACCTAGGCATTGATGCTATCATTTGTTGTGCACCGTAATCTGGAGTATTGGTATGGTCATGAATTTACTTTTAGGGGGGCCTACCTTGGGGTATCTTTCCATTTGCACAGTGAACTGTGCGTACGAGTAAATTTCTAGTGCTATCTATCTGAATGATATCTTGTATGCGTGGTAGAGCATGGCGATTGATAGGAACGACGATACAGAATACTGAAGACTTAGTTTGTTTTGGTTCTGTAACATGTGTTGGCAAGGTGGTCGGAAACTATTTGGGTTTTAAGTTACCATGTCATCGGACAGTGGAGCTTGAATTGGTTGCTGGATCACGGCTTTGCTCTTCTTTGTTGGGTCACATCTTTAGCATGAAAACTTTTGGTAGCTTCCACTGACGTGTCGGTCATACGATAGCAGTAGTGAGACCTACTGTTCGTGATTTTCGATCGTTGTGTACATTGAGATTTTGGAAAAATGATACGACATTAGAGAGTGTTGGTTGTTAGGTTTTGTGATCAATTGAAGCTACGAGTACTTGTTAGTTGCGGAGAAGGAGGATAGTGGTTTTCTTTTTGCTGGTTGCTCCAAGTTTCCGAGTAAAAGAAGTTCAGGTCGCATGTTAGAGTTATTGTCTCTACTACAAATGGGCAAATGGGTGTTAGAGCATGAAATGTAACGGGCAAGGAGCACTTGTATTCGTTTTCACAATTGAGTGAAAACTAAGAAGATGTCTGGTCGCCAGACCATTTTGAGATTGAGAGGTCGTGGCGATGGAAACGCCCGCAATCGGCGTTTGTTCTTCCTGGTATGCACAATGGCGGGCATACTGTTCCTTCTCTCACTTCAGCACAGCTCCTTCTCCAACCACCATCTTCCCATAGACCAAACCTTTACGAACACGCACCTTGATTGGACTCTGTCAAAGGCGGTTACTGCGACGAATAATCCCTTCATTGAGAACGAGGGAGGCTTGGAAAATTCTGAGACTTTGGACCTCAAAAACAAGATGTTACAAAGCAAAGTAGGGAAAAAAGAAGAGGAGAAGGAAGAAGCAGATGCTAAAGAAGTAATGGAGGAGGAGGAGGAGGATGATGATAAGAGCGACGATGTCAACGATGCAATTGAAAAGGAAGAGGGTCGTTTTGAAGGATTGGCATTACGGGATGAATCAACTAGCAACGAAAACGAAGCGTCAGAAGAGGGGGCTAGTGATGATGGAGTCCACAAGGTTGCATTGAAAGCTTATCCTGTAAGTTTGCTCAGACATTGTCATACTTCAGCTCCAATAGCCATACAACATAGGCAGCATAGCAAACCGAATGACTTCCAATTGCCCAGATATAGTATGGAATATGCTTTCTAAGGTATTGTTCTATTTGTAATTGGTCCGAAGGGTTCGTGTCCTTTAGGACGTGTAAATTACCTTTGAAGATCCGACACTGAGACAAGAGTCTGCAGGTCTGTGATCATCGATTCACAGAGTTGGTTCCTTGCCTGGATAGGGATCTGAACCATAAAATGAAACTGAAGCTGAATTTGTCGTTGATGGAGCATTATGAACGGCATTGTCCGCCGAATCATCTCCGCCTGAATTGTCTCATCCCACCCCCTCCAAATTACAAGGTACTGTGAACATCCCCTTCTAAAACTTTGTCCATTTATGTGCTTGGTTTACGGGAAGTCAAGACGAAATAAGGTATTCAATCAGTCCACAATGGGCACCCAACCAGCAGCTGTCATCTCACTCTTGAATTGATCTATTGTACACCATTGAGGGAAGGTACCCATTAGATGGCCGAAGAGCAGAGATGAAATTTGGCAGGCCAACGTGCCACACACTTTCCTTGCCACTGAGAAATCAGATCAGCATTGGATGGTGTTAAGCAACGACAAAGTGAAATTTCCAGGGGGTGGCACTCATTTTCCAGATGGTGCGGACAAGTACATCGCCCATCTTGCCAAGGTGAGCATCTTCTCACAGTTTCCTTTGTTTCATTCTTAGCATTGAAGTCGCAACATGGCGGCACTGACTTTCTTTAGGAATTCACTGTCCAAGATGTTGTTCAATGCACTTATTTTCAATTATTCCCCGACCTTGGAGACGTTCTCCACTGTTAGGAGCTACCAATATCATGATCATTTTTCTAGTTTGATATCTTATGACCGAGCAGGTAGAATTCTTTGCTTTTAACAGTCTTCGAGAAAAGACGGAAAATCCTCTAGAAGTAATCAGACCCAAAGATGCAGTGTTGCTATTATACATAAATACGTCACTTGAGACTTCGATTGTTTTAGAATATTGAAGGTGCTGTGTTGCCTCAATTCAGATGCTCCATAACAAAGATGGTAATTTGAGCAGTGCCGGAAAGATCAGAACTGTCTTCGACGTGGGATGTGGGGTGGCAAGTTTTGGAGCCTACTTACTTTCAATGAACATCTTAGCTATGTCGTTGGCTCCTAATGATGTTCATCAGAACCAAATACAATTTGCGCTAGAGAGAGGCATTCCCGCAACATTGGGTGTCCTCGGTACAATGCGGCTTCCTTATCCAAGTAAATCATTCGACCTGGCCCATTGCTCCCGTTGCCGAATTGACTGGAGACAACGGGATGGAGTTTTGTTGCTTGAAATAGATCGGATACTGAGGCCTGGAGGTTACTTTGTTTGGTCATCGCCTCCAGTATATCGGGATGATCCAGCAGAGAAACAGGAGTGGAAAGAGATGGCTGATCTCGTCAGCAGGATGTGTTGGACAATTGCTTCTAAAAGGGATCAAACGGTTATATGGGCAAAACCTCTTACAAATGAATGTTACGAGAAACGGCCACCTGGAACTTGGCCCCCGTTGTGCAGTGTCGCCAATGAGCCAGACTTAGGCTGGCAGGAACGTATGAAGATTTGTATCACTCCTTTGACACCTCGTAAGTACTGTTTTTTTATATTCCTGATATCTTGAAATGAGTAATTTTTGGGAATACAATTTTTTGGAGCCATACTTGGAATAAGCAATGCATCTTATTACTTCATACTGTGCTGCTTATTCCAGTGAGCATGCCTGGTAGGACTGATTTGGTGCCGTGGCCCAAACGAATGAATAGTCCTCCCTCCAGGCTGAAGGAGCTTGGATTTAACGAGAAAACCTTCATGGATGACACGGTACCGTTAACGTCCACCTCAGATTTTCCAGTACCTTGTTGAGCATTTACGTCCCTCAGCCCTCCACAGGAATTAAAGAAACAGTGTTGTGTAGCGTACGTTTGTTGTCATTGTTTCTTGTTTTATAATCAACTTCAAGCTTGTAAGAAATTCGGGATATGAGTGCAGTTTGCCAATATCCACACTAATAATGTCTCTTTGATATGCATAAAAAGATTGCATGGAAAAGAAGAGCGGATCTGTACATGGAGAGGCTAAGGGCAGGTAAACAAGTAGACCATGATAGTTTTCGGAACGTGATGGATATGAAAGCAAACTTCGGCGGATTCGCTTCTGCACTCGAAGAGATGAAACTGCCAGTATGGGTCATGAACGTTGTGCCTATTTCGGCACCAAGCACTTTGAAAATCGTCTATGACCGTGGCTTCATTGGTTCTTATCACGATTGGTATGGTTCTGTTTGGCTTTAGTTCACGAGGACTTTATAAGAATTCTTCCTAGCTTCTGTGTGTTAAGAATATATTCTTCCATGTCTCTAATCAATTTCTTTTTTACTCGTACATAGCTATCAACTTTGATCTTCCCAGTTAGCTACTTCCCCATTTTTTTTATTTTTTTATTTTTTTTTTAATCAACGCAGCTTTTGTTTGGTTTGCAGGTGCGAAGCATTTTCAACTTATCCACGAACATATGACTTGCTCCATGCCTGTAATGTGTTATCGGATGTCTACAACCATGATTGCAGCTCTATAGACCTGCTCCTTGAGATGGACAGAATCTTACGCCCGTTAGGTGTCGTCATTATACGGGACAAGGTCTCCCTTATTGAAGAAGTCAGGAAGCACCTTAACGCTCTGCACTGGGATTTGTGGTCTGATGTCTTTGATGCCGAGAAAGACGAGGTCTCAGATAGAGACGAGAGAATTTTAATCGTTCGCAAGCAGCTGTGGCAACCGGAGTCTATAATATAGATGTGATGCTCTTTCATTCATTTCTCGAAACTTTAACTTGGAATCAAATGTTTTTTTTGCTTCTGGATGGAGCTTTGGTGTTTGTGTCCAAACTGTGGCGATACTTGCCTCGGTTAATGAGTTGTTAGGAGGCGTATGTTTCGGACTTTGTATCCAGTTTCACCACAGGACGGAATTTTATCTAGACAATGAACGCATAGCTTTATCTGTCAGATAATAGAGCTGTTGCACAAATGAAAATCAGTGAGGCATTCTGAAAGGGTACATCTTTGAACTGAAATACGAGCTGGTTTTAGTCGCCGCTGTCTTCCTTCCCTTACATGGAATCTAGTTCCTTCTGTAGGCCCAAAACTTCATGTAGTTTTGAATTGGATCTCTTAGGTTAGTGGGTTAGGAGGAGAGTGCTGAGAGAGTTGGTATGTACATAGTTTGTCAAGAACATCGAACAACATCTTGTTCCTTCCATGTTCACGGCTGGTGCTTCCTCAACAGGCTGCGTACTTACTCAAGACGATTATAGTCTCCAATGTGTGCATCAGAAACTTTGCAGCTGTTAGTTCTTGGACAATGGGTTGACTAAAATCGTTTGCAGGATGAAGCCTCCCAGTTGGTGATTATTCGTCGCGCTTCTCTGTACGTCGATTGGTTGTCGATTAAAATTTTGGCTGCAGATTGTCAGTAAAGCGCGAGGACTCGATTGAGTACATGACGTGCCCTGAACAAACACAGGAAATCAGAGAGACGGCATTTCACACGCGTCCTTGATTCTCACATTCTTGCTTTTGGACATTGTGCTTCAAAACGAAAATGAATTCAATGATCACTCCGAAAACTTTCACCCACAGAATCAGGAGCTGTGTGAGATTACACAAACTCTGTTTTAATGTGAATTTCCTGCGTCTAGTGCAGATATATAACGACCTTTTCTTTCTTGCGTCATGATACCCTCTTGCATGCAGAAAGCTGACGAAGACGACACGCAATGAACCCATACATTGATTTCCCTTGCTCGGACACAATGTCGCAAGTTCTGGAATAAAGCCTGAACCTGACGGTGTTTAAGTGAAGTAACCTGAGAAAGATCAACCTCCCAATAGAAATTGGTGTGACCGGCCAGGATATGGGTGTGGTTCGGTGGGCAAAAGCATTGAGTGATCAAATAAAAGACGACTGTGGACAGGACAATATGGGAGCTTAATTAAATTGCGATCAGTTCAGAGGAGATTACATGCACATGACACGCAACAGAACTTCAAAGCTTCACAGCTTCTCTCAACTGCCCAAAATTGCTCCTGATCCTCTCAGATCCCCGTACCCCATTGAATTACAGCCCTCATGGCTGTCTGTGGCACTCTTCATAAGCTTCCTGCTGCTTTGGTCATGAATTTGGAGCGATTGAAGCTCCAAGACAGAACTGAATAATGGGATGCCTAATACAATATAAGCTACTGCTCACTCCTGTCGTCATCGTATTTTCTGAGCATTATGGTTTGCAATGGACCTGATCGTAAATAGTAACCCTTAAAAAGGAAAGCCGCGTACATGGCAAAAATAAGCTTTTAGAGAATTAATGGGTTTTGTGAAAATTTGCGTTGTGGAATAAAGCTACCAGGACGTTGACGTTGACGCGGAGTGAAGGCATCAGAACGTTGTTAAATGAAGATATCCTTGTACATTATAACAGTGCAGATTATGTTCTTTGGACGTGATGATTGCAGTTGCAATATCATACTACAAGAACGGCACTTACCCACATCTCCGTTATCATGGCATCTCACGTTGATATGGCATTGCGGAGCCTTGTGCTTCTCTTTCAATCCGTTCCCTTTTCACCTGTGCACACAAGCAAAACAGCACATGCACACTCCCCATCTCAAAATACAGAAATACCATCTTATTCACTAGCTTCCATTACATCACATTGAATGATTCAGCGTGCTCTAAACCTGTGCAAGGTTAAACTTTTAGTCATGTTTACGTCACCAGGAAAGAAAGACATTGATGACCAACCTGTGCCAGGGTGTCTTGTAAGTAAAACTCGAATGGAGTCTGCTTCGCCTGCATTTCAAACAAGTGCATGTTTTTGTATCCATCCATCTCCTACTTCCTAGGAACATCCGAAACTCTACATGATATTCTTCTGACTGGAAGGGTTTCATTAACTTATTCATGAATAGCTACCTGGTTATCGTTTACCATGATACTCGTTGCAACAACTTGCTGTTCCCTGGCGTTACCGCAGTATACAAGGATGCAGTCCTTCAGAATTAATTCAGAGAGTCTTGCAACTAATTCAAACCTGCATTTTCTTGTCAAGATACTTGTGTTTAAATCCGCAATCCATGGCTCGTTTTAATCGTTGGTAACGGTAATCTGTAACTTGTGTAGGCAACCGGTGTAATGCCTCCATGATATCAAAATCATGCATCTCGTCATATAGATCATCGTACCGTAAACCTGATTCCACCAAAAATCTCTCACAACTACGTCGTAAGAGTTCCGAACCAGGTTCAGGTTGCATTTGCAATATCCTTAGGACTGAAACCGTACAAAGGTGCAGCGAGAGGTGCTGTAAATACATGGAAATGCTGTCATAATTATCAAGCTATAAATCATCAAGGATCTCACACAAACACATGAACAAGTTAACGTGTTGACAACCGAGCACTTGCTTCGCTTGTTGCAAAATGTGGGTGCATTGTGTGATTGATGAGGAATAAGAACAATAAACAGAAAAATCCTATACCGTATTTCTTCAGCTCTTTGGAGACCTTCCCTCGATACCAATTGGAACACCATCCGAAACTTTTCCCCATGGATTTCTGAATCGTCCAAGCAGCTTTCTCTGCCCACACGAACTTAACCATGCCGCGGGAGCTCTTCTAGTTTACGAAAACTAATGATCCCGCCTACACTGTCGAATACTTTTGTTCTACTCACCGCCAACACAGGCAATGCTCCAACAGAAAAAAGAACGATACTCCCGAGTGATCGCGATTCACGCCGACAATTCAATTCAAGGGACTTTGAGAGACATGCTGAGGTCTGCTCGACGACCTCATGCAAAAGCATCTTCATTAGGTCAAGCTCGAGGAAGTGTTCATTCGTTCTCAACCTCAACTCTGTTCATCCATATCAACGAGTCGTTGATGAATATTTGAGGATGTCATCTAGTCTTTATCCTTTCTGAATGAATGATCGTTCAGTTCACGACGCTGGGAGAAACATTGTCGCCCCTTTTGTTTCGTGTCTATTACTGCAGATAGTTTTAGAAATAATTTTAGGGGAGTTCTTAGTACAGCAACTTTAGAAAATAGTGAAATTTAAGATCTCTTATTTTTTGTGTATACGTCAAACCTCAAGAAATAATAATTTTTTTGTATCCAAAATGTATTATTTACAACTATATAGGAAATGCGTGTGTGTGTGTATATATATATATATAATACAATAGCATTCATGTCTAGTAAAGTAGTAAAAAATTATGCTAAAATCATTAAAAATATATGTCGTTTTGCAATGTAAAAAGAAAATATCTTTATTCTTTCACTATGCACTTCTCCAAATAAAATCAAGATTCTTTATTTTAAAGGTAGTGAAGCCAAAAATATCACAATAAATATGCTTTTTCTCATTATTTTCATACTAGCTACTTCAATTGTTAAAGTAAATAAGAAATATCTTTGCCAATAAGAACCGAAATATTCCTCTTGTTATTTGATTTGATTTGATTTTAATTTTTTGGATCGAATTTTTTTTAGAAGATGTTCAGTTTCGACTTGACAAATTAAAATGTTGCAACTTTTTCGTGCCCAACAGCACAGTTTTCCGTGACATTTTATTTTTATTTATTTTTGAGGAATGTTGTTTTTACTTAACTTCTATTGTAATTTTAAAAATCAAAGTTTTTTTTAATTAGATACAAAAAAAAAGTTCACTCTCCTAGTCAATTTGATTAATCAATATACTAATTTATTTATTCATACCAATTATAATTATGGCAACTTCTAGGCTATTTTTTAATTTAATTTAATTTAATTCATTTATAAGTTGGAGTGGTGTAAATAAGTTACACTTCCTTTGTATGAAATTTCCTACTGCTTATATTTATTTATGTATAAATATGTGCGTATGTTTCTTTCAGATACGTGTTTCTAAATAGATGCGACAAAGATCCAAGTATTGTTTAATTAAACAACATATGAAAATCAAAATTATTGGGATATATGTAGTATTTCAGTTGAAAATCACTGACATTCAAAAATCACATAGCACTGATTGTGAAGATCCAAACAAGGAAGTAGTTTTTGTCTTGAAGACATTGAAGCACTGCGCCACTAAAATGTGCCTCAAAGTTTTTGCAGTAATAGCAACTAAATCAATGCACATGTATGATCTACATCAGTGTCAGCTATGCCCCTGCTGTAATGAAAAGTCCAACTTGAAAAGGGAGTGTAAATGCTCATGGAAGGGCTCTGAAAGGCTGCCCTTCTTTTACCCAGCCATGTGTCTTTTAATGACAGCGGAACTTCCACTGCTCACAGATACTTTCCTTCGGTGGTCTCTGGTTGTGCACGGCACTGACCTACGACTCATGACCTGTGCTCAGGTGATCTCATCTCTTGTTTCGTGACATGGTAGTGATGGTCATCGCCAATCAGAAGCATGTTCTTTTGTTACAGTATGTCCATGGTACTCTTGAATTTTGTTCAGAGGGTTGCTTTGACTGGAAATTCTTAACCCTCACTGCATGAGTGCACGTTCTACAGTTGTCATGTGCTCAGTGTGATTGGAATTGGTGTTGCTGGAGGTGAAGTGCTTACGACATAACTTACATAAGCTTATGTGCGGTCATTTGATAATTGCAATGTAAGACTTGGAATCTGTGCTGGTGCCATGTTTAAGACTTCGAGAAGTTCCGTAACATGGTTATCGACCAAAGATGCGCACAACTAACGTAGTCAGAACTTTAAATTACACAATGATGTAAGCAAGGACCTAATTAAGCAAGAGCTAACGATTCTGCTCTTGCACCTGAAAGCGCTGAGCATCTGCTAGTAAGGACTTTCTAGAAGGAAAGCAGACATACACAGGGTTAATAGCAATAACTTGCAATTAGAAGACAACACAGTCTATATATTTAAGACAACACAGCTCCATGTTTCCAGTAAACAATACAATACAACCACAAGAGGTGGAAATACAGCGAAAGAAGAATATTCACGGACTTTGGCAAGATTGAACTCAAACTTGCATGTCCCATTCAAGCCGTGACAACAATCGACACACTCTCTAACTCAAGAAGTGACTGAAACCCATAAAATTGAAGCATCGAAAACGTACTAATGGATGTTATGTTGAGAATTCTCCACATGAAAGAAGTCACAAAGTTCTCCAGACTGGTAGCAGTCCAATTCTTGAGCAAGAGGACGCCAGAAGCATAGCAGGGCGTCACAGCCACGCAGTACCAGCAACTAGAGCACGTACTCCACTTCCATACACTAATTTGCATGTACAAATAGGTTTACAAGTTATCCAAATCTAAAAACAAATATGTTAAAAAAGCATCCTTCATCTTAGCATAACGCCGGGAGCGGTGGGTGCAACCATGGGCCGAACATAATTCTGCTGTGCCACTTCCCACCCTAGAGATGGATCGAGGCCCCGGTTCTGAAGCTCTCGATGCTCCTGGCAAATAGCGCACCACCCGCAGCAACAATGCAAACAGAAATCCCCGCAGCAGCCCTTCTCGAGCATATACTTGCGTCGCAGCCTCTGGCGCCACCTATACGAGTAGACGCAAGGGACTCCAATTGTGCAGAGTAGCGCGTAAATCGTCCCCTGCACGAAACAAGAGGAACGTCCCTCGTCGAGAACCTCCGTAATTTGGCCAAACGACACGCAAGGACACCAGCACGTCTGGCAACACAAGTCACAATCGGAGCAGCACCCACAAAGGTCCGTGGTCCACTCGCCTGTGAGCGCGGTCGGTATCACCATCGGAGGGCCGCCGATGGGAGCCTGCGCCGGCATATGGTCGTAACTAGGTTGTGGTGCATACGGCCCTCCTTGATGAGTGTAAGGATTCGGCGGTGGGTACACCGGGTGCCCTAGCACCGGCTCCGGGGGCGCATTGCTCCCTCCCTCACCGTAAATCCCCATCTCGGAGTCTCGCTTTCGGTCCTTCCCCCTTCTAATCTTTGCGGCGCAGTGTTCACAACCTACCACAAACCACAAGGCACCCACCCCTCTACGCAAAAGAACTGCTGCTGCGACTACCGGACTCTAAATCCTACTCTCGCCCCCACAATGCCGCGATTATGTAACGTCCGCAGCGCCTGCAACGAAGACGCAGAGAAGTACGATAAGCAAGCGGGCTTGGGCCATGATTGTTGCAAGTTGCGATGAGCGCGTGCATTAGTGCGTCCGGGGAACGTTCGCTGTGGGTGCTGCTTTCCCTATACCATAGCCATGAGTGCTCTGGGCGTATCTGGTCGATGCAGCCTGATCTCATCGCTCTCACCGTTTCTGATCAGTGCGGAGGGAGAATCATAGTTGGATCCTTTTTCCATTGCAGCAGAGGGGATCCTCCTCGTCGTCTTCCATCTCCGATTTCGGGCCCAGATCGGGTCCTCCGATGCCGCCGCCGGCGTAACGTCGCTGCGACCCTGGGTCCCCCGAGACTGGGTCCGCCTTCGCCATTGTTGTCTGTACTCGCTTTGTGTAGCCAGGAAGTTAAAGATTTCTAGTTGCTATCTGGATCCCTTTTTGAATGTGCCTACATCCCAACATTGAAGTCCAAAATCAAACTTTTTTATATTGTAAAAAGTAAATCAAAAAGATTGAAACTTTAGTTTATGAGAGAAGTTTAATTTGAGATATAAAAATAGACAATGTAAGTGTCCAATGGTGGAGCAATGTATTGAAATGGTAGAAAACCACTTTGGTGTTGTTTCCAATAATGTGTAAAGTTTGTGTTTTGACATTCTTAATTCACTTCTATTGGTGAAAATTAGATAATGTTATCTTAAAGATTACAAAAATGGCACATAAGATATTGAGTGAATGTATGTATATATATATGTATGTATGTATGTATGTATGTATATATGTATATATGTATATATATATATACATATATATATATATACATTTATTTATACTACAGTGGTTAGTTTTCTTATTCTTATTAATGCACAATATGTTGCCTAGATAGTAATTTCTTTATCCTTTTGTGCTTCTCTAAGGATTTTCTTTCCTCCTATAATCTACCATTGATGTTTCTAAAGATGGATATACACAAGTTATTAAAATTCCAATTCGAAATACTATTATGTAATTTAAGTCTGATGGATATACACAAGATAACACAAATAATTTATAAAGGTCAAATTCTTTTATTATATTTATCATATTTATTATATTTGGATTACTGTAATATTAAAGATTTTTTAATAAATGTATGCAGATTTATTTATTTTCATATTAAATCTGTATTTTAAAGTGATACATTAAAAACATTAAACTTATAACACTTTTCATTTATTATTTATTATTATTATTATGTAAAGATGTAAAGAAAATGAAAAAAAGCATTAAGAAATACAAGCCTTTGAACAAAACAACAATTAGATTGTTCTGAAATCTTTATTGACAAGACTAAGGTACTTCTTATCTTGCCACCTTAATTATACTATGACAACTAGGTCTTTTAGAAGAAGCTCTAATAAACTATAAAATATCTTAGATGTCTAAATCTTTTATATAATTTTTTAAAAAAATAATTGAAACTTTTAAATAAGTATAGAAAGTTTTAGAATCCAACAAAAGATTTTAGAGGATTCCAAAGGTTCTAAAGTTGATAGAAGATAGTATAAACAGCTTGAAAGTTTCAAAACAATTCTCAAAAGGAAATTGACAAGAAAACTTATTATTTATCCACAAAGAAGTGTAAATTCTATAGCTCTCTAAAAGACTTTAAGTATAAATAAGTTTGTCTAATATGTATATATATATATATATATATATTTATATATAAATTTGTAATTTTCTAAAACATTATTTTTAGTTTGAATATATACAAGATATATTTATTTCTCTTCTTAAATTTTTCTAAATATGTTAATAGAACTTAATGCAATCTCTCTTCTAATATTATAGTTTATGATTTTAATATGTTAATATATTTAAAAATTCACAAAGTTATTAAAATTCCAATTCTAAATACTATTATTTAGACACAATTTTTTTCTACAAACAAGTTTAAAAATACATAAATATATACGTTTTAAGATGACTTTTGTTTAATTAGAAGAAAATCATAAATGTTATGTATAGGTTTTCTTTTTTCTTTTTTCTTTTTACCAGATTATATATTTTTATAAAAGAGAAGAAAAAAGGTATTATTATTATTTTATTACATTAATTCTTTGGCCCTTAAAAAATCAAATGATTATTTTTGTACATTTTAAATTTCGAGTAAAATATAACAAATTTTTATTGCAAGATAAATATATGGAATATAGTCAAATATAGTAAATATATATACATATAGATAGATAGATAAGAATAACATATTTACATAATATATTTTCCTACACTATTAGTCTAAAATGTTCCGTATCATAAAACTAATAAATTATAATTTTTTTTACTAATCTTCACTCGTAATCAAAATGATTGTCACTAATATACATATTTATTCTAATATTTATATGATTAAGTAGAAGTAGGTGAAAGTAGATTTAGTTTATAATATTTTCTAGAAAAGCTTCCTAGAAGCTTTATAGATGTTGATTTGATTGGTAAGTTAGAAATTTGATCAATAAGTTAATTATGTGTTGGTAGCTTGGAAAATAAGCTAAATATATAATGCACATATAAAAAACTTGCCTTACAAGTTAAGATTTGTGTCTTACAAAGTCAACATGTTTTGAAGGTCCTATAGAACATTACTACATAGCTCTTAGTTAAGAATATATATAGAGGTAAGAGTGAAGTCTTCTTTACTCTTGTCAATATCTTTCTAGTCATTAGTCTTGTTTTCAAGTCTTTCTAGTATTTTTGTCTTTGGCAATAGCCTGCACCTATAGAAGAAATACTAATCTTATACCTATCGAAGAAATTTAGAGTTTGTCAAGAAGTTGGACAATTGAGGGAAGCAAGTAAATTGACCTCATAACCAAATGGATTTACTCAAGTTGGATTTATATGTTCACTTCTATCTGAAAATGCTCTCTCTTGGATTTGCACCTTTGATGGAAAAGAATTCATGACTCCTTTATGATTTGAATTCATTTCTAGAAGTATTTATGGCCATATTCAAAGAAAGCGATTGAAAAAGAGTAGCAAAATTTAAGTTCTTATTTTTATCACAAGGATCACAATTAGCTACCATATATATTGTTAAATTCCAAAACCTTGCTTACAATGTGGATTGGAATGACAAATCCCTAATCAATCAATTTTGATATAAATTGAAAGATAATGTTAAAGATTTATTAGTTGAAAATATCAAAAGTAGAGTCTTTAGAAAAAATTATTATTCAAGCCATTGCATGCAACAATCAATTATTTGAAAGATGTCAAGAACCAAGACTTGGCTAGAGAAGAATAAGTCAAATAATGAAGCAACTCCTAAGTTTTTAAAAACTTATTCATCAAGGCAGAATTAATGCAAATTGATATGGTATATTTTAAATCCTCATAGAGCAAAAAAAGACTCAACGTTGTTAAGAAGGCTTGTGCTTATATTATACAGAAGCTAAACATATGAGTCAATATTATCCTAAGAAATAATATAATTATAAAATAAAGAGAATGGTTGCCAAAGAAGACAATGTATTAGAAAACAAGTTTTTTCAATTATAATAGGAACCATGCAGTTGGAATCTTATGTAACTACTAGTAGAGGTCTTATTCTTTGTTCAAATCCCTCACCTTATTTTACAATAGAAGTTCATTTTGGATCCAAAAATCACAAAGTCTTAGCCTTGTTAGATTCAAGAAGCTCAGATTATTTTATAGACAAAGACTTTGTCAAAAAATAAGAAATATTGTTAGTCAAAAAAACTAAATCCGTACATGTAGAAGTTATAGATGGTTATTTGATGTCTTCTAGAGATGTTATTCATGAGACTGTTCCTTTAGATGTAACAATTAAAGATCATAATAGCATAATAATATTTAATGTAATAAGATCTTCATCTAATCCAATTATTTTAGGATTATCTTATTTAAAAAAATATAATCCTCAAATAGATTGGATTTCTTGTAATCTTAATTTTTCTTATAATTTGATCCAAATTTTCATTAGTAAAGTAGAAATATATAAGCCTAGTACATCCAAATTGTTGTTGGTAGATGCTAAAGCTTTCATGCATGCAACAAAAGAAGGATCATCTATTGCTATATATGCCACGCTTATTTTTTATGGTAGAAAGATGTTAATTGGTATTCCTAATCAATATCAAGATTCTCAAGATGTCTCTTAAAAGAAAAATATAGATATTCTTTCAAAGCATTGATCCTATGATTGTCCAATTGATTTGTAAGAAAGAGCTCAATCACCATTTGGATCAATCTACAACTTATTGCAAAATAAATTGGTTGCATTAAAAGAGTATATTAAAGAAAACTTGACTAAGAACTTCATACATCATTCTAAATCTCTAGTAAGTACTCCTATCTTATATGTGAAGAAAATAAATGAATCTCTACAAATGTGCATAGACTATTAGGGACTTAATAAGATCACCATCAAAAATAGATATTTTCTACCTCTGATTTTAAGACTTTTTGATCAATTCAATAAAGCAAAGATCTTTACAAAAATAGATCTACGAAAAGCATACAACTTGATGTACATCAAAGAAAAAGATGAATAAAAGATTATTTTTTGAACTAAGTTTGGACATTTTAAATATAATCTCATGCCTTTTGGATTCATAAATGTACCAAGTGCATTTTAACATTTCATGAATGACATTTTTTATGAATTTCTTGATGATTTTTTTCTCTATTATTTAGTCAAAATTCTAATCTACTCTAAAAACATAGAAAAGGATGAACTTCATATTTGTCATATATTACAAAAACTTAGAGATACAGGATTATATGCCAAGATAAAAAAAATGTGTATTTTATAATACTCAGATTGGTTTCTTAGTATACATCATTTCCAACAAAGGGCTTATGATGGACCCAAAAAAAGTTCAAACTATCATAGATTGGAAGATTCTAAAAATAATTAGAAATAAGTAATTTTTTTTGGAATTGGCCAATTATTACAAGATCTTTATGAAGAACTTTTCTCAAATTTTATCTCTTCTTTCACACCTAACATGTAAAGATAAACTTGAGTGGAGCAAAGAAGTTAAAGCATCTTTTGAAGTTTTAAAGATAACATTTATTATTACATCAATTTATATTGCATTGATTTTTTCAAGGCATTCTTTATAGAAACAAATGCATCAAACTTTACTACAGGTGCTATTTGGTTACAAATCGAAACAAATGACAAACTCTACTCAATAGCTTTTCATTCCAAGAAATTTTCAGTAGCGAAGATCAACTATGAGATCAACGACAAAAAATTATTTGAAATCATGGATTCATTTCAAAAATAGCATCATTATCTAAAAGGCACTTATAAACTAGTCACCATATATACAAATTTTTAAGAACCTTGAGTATTTCATATTAGCACATATTTTGAATAGTTGTTAAGCTTGTTGGAACATGTTTTTATCAAGATTTGATTTCAAGATCACTTATCAACCTAAAAAACAATAAGGTTTGTCAGACACCATTTCTAGACATTCTTATCTTGTACCAAAAGAAGGAAATGTAGCTTTTGATCTACAAAGAACAATTTTCTTAAGCCTGAGCATTTTCATCTTCAATCAATAAAATCAACATTGATTATTGATTCAATCTTTGTTAAGTAAATTCAATTAAGTATGTCCTTTATTCTTATTATTTATGATATCAAAAATAATTCTTTTAAGTCTCATGATACTTCCAGGTTCAAATTCAAGAATAATCTATTGTATTTTGAGGAATAATTATATATTCTTAAAGGCAAATTATGATTATATTTTTTTAAGCTTGTCATGACTTTATAGTGGTTAGACATTTTAAATATAAAAAGACTTTGGAGCTAATATCTAGAGATTTTTGGCAACCTCAAATGAAGAAGTCAATCAAAGACTTTGTACAATCACATGATATTTGTTCAAGTTCTAAAATTCTTTGTCATCAATTTTATGGACTTCTTCAGCCATTATCTATTTTTAAATAACTATGGTCTTCTGTTTCTATGGATTTCATTATAGACCTTCATGTCTTGATTCATATAATTTTATATTTGTAATAATAGACCATTTTACAAAGATGGCATATTTTGTACCATGTACAAAATCTATTACAGGTGAAGAAACAACTAAGCTTTTTCTTGACAACATCTATTGTTATTATGAATTGTCCAAGGATATTACATCAAATAGAAAAACTTAATTTGTATCTAGATTTTGAAAAATCTTTTTCAAGATTTTAAAAGTGGATATAAAGTTTTTTTTGACTTTTTCCTTAAAATGATAGATAAACAGAATGAGTGAATCAAGTTTTAGAATAGTATTTGAAGTATACCATCAATTATCATCAAGATGATTGGACAATATTTTTGCCATTGATTGAGTTTGTATACAATAATTTGATACATTCTTCTATTCAATAAATATCTTTCTTTACCAATTATGGTTACCATCTTCCACTTAATATTTTTGACTTTTCAAAAGTTAATAATCTTACAAGAAAAGATTTGGCAAATTGTTTATCAAAGCTATCTACAACAATAAAGATGTAGTTAAAGAAAGCTCAAAAATGACAAAAGATCAATGCAGATGCTTATTACAAAGAACAACCATAATTTAATATGGGTGAGAAGATATGATTATTTTGTCACAATATCAAGACTACTCTTTTTTATGACAAGTTGGATTATTGTAGGTTTAAACCTTTTTTTAATTATGAACAAGTCAATCCTATTACATATTAATTACATCTACGAAAGTCTATGAAGATCCATCCCATATTACATGTATCTCTTCTAAAGCTATTTTAGACAATGAATATCTCAAAAAGATATAAATGCCACTTCTTCCTATAAAAGTGGATAATAATCAAAAATTTGAGGTAGAAAAAGACTTAAATTTAAAGCAGTGTCAAAATATGTTAGAATATCTTATTCATTAGTCCAAATATGATATTAGCAAACACAATAGAAGTAAACAAAGAATCTTGTAAATACAACAAAAAATATTGAGGTTTTTCATCAATGACATCCATCAAAATTAAGATCAAGAATAGCAAATTTTTGGGATAAAAGAAACAAGATCTATAAAAGATAGTATTCTACCTTTTATTCTTGTTTGTAACTTTTGTGAATTTGTGATACTAAAGAGATAGAGAAACAACAATCATCAGATTCAACTCAAGAACTTTCACTTGCTGATTTTTTGGATAAGATATTATGATTGTCACAACCTTCAAGATGACATAATTAACATGAAGATCCTCAAAAATGACATGTCCTTCCTCAAATAGATGGCAAGATATAATGTATTTGATATCACAACTTTGAAAGATACTCTTAATATTTGATAATTTTGTTAGACATAGAAACAACTCCTAACGGGGTTCCAAATGTTTTATTTGAAAGAAGTTACAAAGGCCTCAACAATGATCAAATAATAAGGTGATCTTTCCGCCTTGATATGAAACACTATTAATGGCTGAGAGAACCTATCAACAATTTTCAAAGAGAACAATGATCAAAGTATGTGGCCAATATAATTTGCCACATTTTGAATTTCTTTAGCATATGATGATCGCTTTTTATAGAATTTGTCCCTAGAAAGAGAGGATAATATCACCACTATATATATATATATATATATATATATATATACTCTAATATTTACCTATATGATTAAGTAGAAGTAAATAAAAATAGATTTAGTTCATTATATTTTCTAGAGAAGCTTCATAGATGCTACTTCGGTTATATATGTGTTTATAGTTGATTGATAGATTAAAAACTTGATGAAAAAATTAACCATGTATTGATAACTTGTGAAACAAGCTAATTATTTGGTGCACATATAAAAAACTTGCATTGTAAGTTAAGATACGTATCTTGCAAAGTCAACACATTTTAGAGGTCTTTTAGGACATTGCCATGCAGCTCATAGTGAAGAGTATATGCAAAGGCAAGAGTGAAGCTTTCTTCACTTCTGTGAACATCTTTCTAGTCCTTAGTCTTATTTTCAAAACTTTTTAATACTCTTATCTTTGGCAATAACCATTCTAGTTTAATATTATATCATCTTTGAATCATATAAGAGTGTATAATAAGCAAAATTAGTTGCTATTCAAAGTAGAGTTCGATCGATGGGGGGAAGAATATACTACTTTTTTATTTTATAAATGTTACAATGCGTGCAAGTTTTCCCGACAGACCTAAAGTACCATTCGGCGACGGCCACAAGTAACACTGCGGAGAGGAACGGAGCAGGCAACGGGAATGGTGTCACTTGGGCACAATGGATCATCCATCACCTCATCAGTAGTATCCAGCACCAGTTTCTCGATGTTGCGGGTGATTTTTGAAGTGCGTGGGATTGTGAGGGTTTGAAGTGGGGTGAGTTGCTGCGCGCGAGGAGGGAAGAATTGTTAGCCATGGATTGGGAGGGCCAGAGACTTGCCGAGCTGCTGATGCAATGGCTTTTGTTTGGCTCCGCTTTGGTGGCGTTTCTTACGGGTTGGTTTACTGCTTCCTATAGCACTATGCTTTACATCTACCTCGGGGGAGTGGTGCTCGCGTTTCTAGTTTCCGTCCCTGACTGGCCCTTCTTCAATCGGCATCCGTTCACCTGGTTGGAGCCCATGCACGCCGAGAAGCAAAGCCAACGGCTGCTTGCCAGACAGCAAGCTGCAGGGAAGAAGGGCACTAAGTCGCAAGCGAAGCGATGACTTGAGCCTGTCGAATAGGGTTCGTTACGTTTTGCGGTATGCAACGATGTGGTTTTTTTATTTTCTTTTTTGTGTACAACTCTCAGCATCATGCGTGTCAAGGGAATTGAGACCCCACACGCCCCGTTTTGCAGTGTTCTGGGTCAATCGTTAAGGTTTGTATTGTAAATTAAACTTAGGATTTAGGGTTGGTGATGTCAGTGAAATTTCGACACTGCCCTGGTTGTTGGTTGTCGGCATGGATCATGATCGGAAGACTCGCTGTGATGGGAGCCGTATTTGTTGGCTGTATGGGTATTCCTGTGAATAACCCATGTGTTCCTTTCTTTGCAATGAAGTGTCTTCTGTGAACAGGAGTAGTAAAAAAAATTCTCTGAATGCGTGCCAGGCGTTTTTATTACATATCGTCTAGATTGCCCCTTGTTTCGTTGTGACAATTGGTGGACTTAGGTTACTGTTATCAGTATGGTGTTCGATCTTGCATGTAATTTCTCGTAGCGTCCAACCAGGGATGATACATTCAAATGAAGGGGAATGCTTTGTACATTCTGCAGGTGACTGATCGCTTTTGATCTTCAAGTCCTCCCCGAGAGTTTAGCGGACGAGAGCAGAGTAGAACAGGAGTTGGATTATGCCGACATGATTGAGTATCCTGTTTTCGATGCTCTCTTCCCCTGCCAAGAATTGGGCACTCCCTGCAATATTACTTGCTGTAGGACCCATTTCAGCTATCAAGGTGAGCGACAAGTTCTAATGTGCACTAGCGATGCACGATGATATGTCATGCTAGGTTACCTATGCAGTCTTAGGTTACAGTTATTTATACAAGAAAGAGATGTATCCTGTGAGTGTCCTGGATCACAGCCGTAATTGGAAAGTAAATTGTAAGCAGCTATTATTTTGCGTTTTTCCTGCAGGCTTCCGATGACATCGATGTAACCTCATGATTCCATCTTGCTTCAGCCTGATCACAGTTCATTCTCTGTATATTGAATCTCTGGTTTCTGGAAGTTGGTGATGCTGTGAAATTCTCATGTCGAACCTTGCCCTCACCTTAAGGCTCGGCAAGACTGCTCGAGGTTTATGTTCCACGTTTGGCTGTTCGGCTGGAGCTTTTCAATATCGTGATGGGGCAAAGTTATCATGTGCCAAGGTGCAATAATGTGGGTGAAAACAAACCCTTCGCGGTGATCCCTTGCAATGTCTGTAAATTGGGAGAACGGTGACTGAACAAATAATTGTGGTGTGACACTCTTGTTTGCTGATGTGGCAACTTGCATCATCGCTAAAGCACAAATACTCCATGGAGCAAATGAATTTGTGCATCGATGATGCCCAAGGAACCTTGACAACGTACAACGTTATAATTTCATCAATCTATAATATTAATCAGCGATGTTTCTTTTACGAGTGCTTTCTCGGAAATATTATCAAACGAAAGAGAAATTAAAAAAGGAGAAGCAGATGGCCACATCTCATTGTGTAACTTTGAAGATATAACTTCAAAATTCTGATCCATATTTACTAAATTAGTTCTAGAAAATTCTCCTTATTGTATGATCTGACATAGCTTCTAAGTTTGGGACCAATTGTCCTTAGTATTGTCCTCAAAAGTGTACTCAATATTCTTTTAAGAGCATCTTGCTTAACATTGTCATAATTGTCATTCTCTGTTTATTGTGGGCAAAATGTCTTCTTTTAAACAGAGAACGACAGTAAAAGGCAGTGCTCTTAGAAATCTTTCATACTCATTGTTTACATCATTTGTGTTCTGGTGCCAGTAATATATAGACGTCTTTGGTTATTTCTTAAATGGGGCACCATGTTTGCATGTCTTCAAATTTTCTACATTGTCATTCAAATCCAAAATACATGTAATAAAAACAATAAAAAGAAATCTTTCTTTTTGAGTATAATACTTCTTGAACTACTTCAACTTTAAACAGTTTCTTACAAAAATTGTTTAATGCATAAAAGAATGCTAAATGACACCATTTTGAATAATCTTCTTAATTTAGAATAGTGTGCAAGGCTGAAGTGAATAGAAAATAACCTACATATGTTATTTACTTTAAATAGTTCTATTATTTCTAGGCCAATTAAATGTAATTTTGCAAAATACATAATATATTTCAACCAAAGCTTCACTATGGTCCCTTGAAATTCAGTTCCTACATGTTGGTTGGTTCATATTTTATTTAGAAATGATATAATCTTTGCATTGTTCAAGTAATTAAAAAATTTTAATTAATTTGGAGAGACTTTAGAAATATCAAGCTTAGATAAACTTATCAATGACCATAGGTCTTTTGATACTTACATTTAGACTTCTGATACTTAGTAAGAGACCACAACTTTTGAGTCTTTTAATTAGTTAAATTTGAGGAGTCTTGCCTAGTTTACTTTATATTAAGTAAACTTAGTTCAAATGTTAAGGCAAAAAAATTAGGTCAACATAAATATTGTTATCTCCTTGAATTTTTCTTAAGTGCATTTAAGAGGTGGTTTTTTAAAATATATATATATATATATATATATATATGAGAAGCCATATTAGAAATTGCAAAACACAAAATTTAACAACTTTTCAAAAAAAAAAAAAAAAAAAAAAAAACTTGTATTATTTTACTCTTAGTTATGCTTAGAATCAAGATTTAAAAAAATATTGTACTAAGACTTGTAAGAAAATAATAATTTGATCTATTTTTATGATTTATAAATATGTATACATATATGTTTTAAGACTAAGACTTTCAAAGGAAGATCTTTCCTCACCAAGGGACCTCGGTGAGGCTTTTGAATTCAAAAACTCATGAAAAATGACTGTAATTTCCATGTGGTTTGATAAAATGTATTTAATAATTTCCAATACTAAAGGTATTATTTTTGTGTGTATATATATATATATATATGTCCATTCCACCCTCAATTCTACCAAGGATTCTTAACAGCAATTATATTTCCTATCCAATTCTCCACATCGAAATACCACTTTTTGTTGTTGCTATTCTTGCTTTGAATGGCATTCAAAGATACTTACACACTGCAGAACGAAAAGCGTTCATTAGAATTCAAGTTTAATGCAGTAATAAATCCGGATGGGATATCTGACAGGCTCAAATATCTTCAAAGATATTGCATTTTTAAATTATTTTTAAAAAAATTCCCCTCATTTTGTAAAAGGATCAAATTATGTTGATGGTGTATGCATTGGTAGGGATTGTACTAGAATGGGGGGCACGGGACTCAAGTTCACTGCACATGGATTGAAGGCAACATGGGGACTATGGCAACATGGGATATGATGAATCTGTGAACACAAAAGCTGGCAACTCCAGAGCAAACTGTAGCTTTTTGTAGGAATGTACCACAATCCACCAACTTAAGAGCATTCAATTGGCCAACCCACCAAGTTCGTCACCATACCCACCATTAATATGCCTGTCCTTGGATCTTTTTTCCTATAAAGAAATTGGAGGTTGGCAACGTGGGTTCTTGGGAGGCTTTGTCCACTTGGTCATCCCTTTTGTATACATCTCCACTTCACTTTTGGTGTGGCTTTGTTGCAACCCACAAAGCCTTTGTAATGTATCATCATACGGTGACTAAGACTTGTTTAATGATTAATTTTTGTTGAGATTTGTGAAACTAATTATCTTGTGTGGTGCTACACCATTACATTGACATGAAGAAAAATTAGCAAAAAAGGATGAGATTCTTTTTGTTTTAGTTGTAGATTGATTGTGTTGTGAGAACATGTTGAATTGTGCTTTGTGGGAATGTAAAAATATAGTGCAAATAATAATAATAATAATAATAATACTAATAATGATAGTTATAATAAGTTTTTAAATAGTGTATGAAATAGTAAACAACAAACTCTTCAATTTACTGTCTAATTTTGTTTTTTAAATGGTTATTTCATTTCTTCAAAAAGATATATTCTATTGAAGTTGGAGGTATTTGGACACTTCACGTCATGTGTATATGTTAAAATTTGACATACTTGGCACTTGTTAAAAAAGAAAAGAAAAGAATAGTTTAGTTTTAATTGTTATGTTCATGGATGCTACCTACTGTTTATATGATTCTGATTCATTATCAGGGGAAAAAAAAGCTTAAAATATATTGGATGTATGAATATACTTCCAAAGAATCAAATATTTTTTTCCAAAAAACTACATTCATATGCTTGTATTGTGATTTAGTTGAAAAAAAACATATAAACTATTCGTGTGAGTTCATTGTTAATTGAAATTGAATTTTAATTTCTGTTAGAATCACATCGCTTTTAACTCATTAAAAGAAAATCTATAAATGAAGTGTCGAGTAACTTCAACTGCATTTGATTTGAATCTGTGACCAAATTTCACATAAAATCGTTGCGATAGCTTTGTTCCCCTTACATACAGCAACACCTTTTATGTGCATGAATTTGCATATGAGACTCTTCAATATTTTGTAACTCAACAAGCAACAATCGATGACATTGAAAATCTCACCATGGTAAACATCTAACGACAGTCCTCAAAATTCGTTTCCAAATCAATTGAACAAGACAAAGTCATCACTTTACAATACCTCACAGAGTGAAACCTGAAAGCTAGTTTGGTGCATTGTTTTATTCATGCATACAAAGAGTTTTAATTTTAATTTTAATTTTTTTGTCTATGTCATGGTTTTCGAGCATTGTGCAGCTACCTAACACTCCAGCCAACACCAAGCAACCAATCAACCCACCCGCAAATGAAAACATCGCAGTGGCGCTGTGATCAGTAGAAGTGGCGGTCAGTGGTCGGACATAGCAAACCATCAAGCGGAGAATGACAGTTGTAGCATGCAACGTAGGTGGATTCACAGGCACAAATGTAGATGAATTCACACTATCGCAGGAGGGAATATGAATTCGAGGTGCATCAGTCGCGATCCCTGTTTCCATCGACATAATGAAGGGGCCGTGTCTCCGAGGCAGACACTGTCACCACTCTGATTCCCACTCAGTCACGCGTTGAACATTTTGCACCGCCTGCAGTCAGTTAATGGCGTCTCATCTCACAGCTTCGCTGATACTCCCATGAGTCCCTCCCTCCCTCCCTCGGCCCCCACACGTATATTACCTGACCTCCTGCTCACCTTTGGCTGCATGTGTGCTTGCTTCTCTGCCAGTTCTCAAGTCGAGCTGCCAGTAATCAGGTTCGTTGCAGTCAGTGCATATCGCGAGGAGATTTGTGGAGAGAGAGAGGGAGGGTGAAGTGGGTGGAGAAGCGATGGCAGTCTGTGGGAAGAAGGTGTTGCTGGTGACCCTCCTGGCGGCCCTCCTGGTGGCATCCACTCAAGCTGCGGTGACGGTGGTGAACCTTGCACAGGCATTGAGCATTCTGGTGAATGGAGCGAACGTGGACGTGAAGACCGGTAGTGTGTCGGTGGATGTAAAGGGGGCTAAGAGTCAGGATATTGTGGTGAAAGGACCCGATGGGAAGGATATCAAGGTGAATGTGAAGGATGGGGATGTGCTTGTGCTGGTGCCGAACATTCTGGGCAATGGTGGCATCATCGTCAACGTCAATGGCGTTCAGGCTCCTTAAATTTGTATGTACTTGCAGGTTTCGCTATTTTCCTTGTAGTGATTTGTGACTGTTGGTTTATCTTGTAAACAGGTCCCACATGACTGTTTTCTATAACAGTTCGGTGACGAGTCATGAAGACATGTTATTGTTGCATATTCTTTGGGGATGCGATATCTTTGGTGTCGGTCCCACGTTTGCGGCACCCATGTATGCACTGTTCTGAATTTGAGGCCCCGCAATTTGTGCGCAGGTTCAGGGGTATCGCTAGAGACGCTGCAATAGCCGTCCACTTCCCATATTTAGCCACATAACCTGCAGACTTCGAGCGTGTAGGTTATGTCCTTTAAGCACGTTGGGGTTGACACAACAAACGCTCTTTCGCTCAAGAGCTTGTTTGAATTATGTGGCAGTTTTATAAGTTTCAAGAAGGCGGAGAATTACTTGCCTCCGACAATTACGTGTCTGATATGTTGCACGATAAGTAAAAGAATTGCAAGGCTTGTTCCGACAAGTTTTGCGCATTGTCTTCAGTCTCCACTAATTCTCGTTTCATAGAATATTTCTATTTGTGGTACTTACTGTTCACACCATATATGTAACAGAATGACACCAAGGGTACAGTGACTACCTATGTGCCGAGATATATATGGTTGCTGGCTGCATTCACAAGAATATAGCATTCATCTCATACAGGGTCACAAGCTTTGCGAATTTCAATTAAGTAAATGTGGTGGAGTTTTCTAGCGCTCTTTCAGTACTTATTGCCTAGGTACAAACATTATGGACAAGTTGCTTGTAGAAAAGATTGAACAAGGAACCTGTGAACTTTGTGACCTTGTCAGTAGTTTCTTTTCATTGAAGTAAAACAATTTTCAAAGCATTCCTTTTCTCAAGACTGCTTGGAAATAGACTTAACATTTAGAAGAATAACACAAGATGAAAGCTTTTTTTCGTCAACTCTTTTACTTTCATTCCGACATCTGTGCGCCAATCCCTTTAATATCTCTTGAGCGTCGATTCTAGAATTCAAAGAAATATCTTGAATTCTCAACGGGGAAATCAATGAACAATCTGTCCTGCTGAAACTGATTGTTAAATGACGTCGTTACTTTCCACGAAAGCAACAAAGATAGGGCCCAAAATCTTTTCAATCTGATATAGACAAATACATTTTTGTGACACCATGGTCATCTATCCACAGTTGTCAATATTTTCTTATTTTAGTAACATGAAACAAAATCTTGTCAGATGCCCTCTCCTTTCGGGATGATAGCTAGCTTCATCTGTGAAACGACTATATCCTAAATAAACCGAGTAAACACAAATCTATTATTGGCGTATGCACCATTCAACTCATCTCAAATCATGCAACATTTAGTTTCTTCTTTACTCTGTTAACATGCATAAACTTCACGAGTTGCTCGTCAGATAATTGTTTGCATTCAATGTCGTATCTAAATACTTAAGGCCAAAACCACATACAAATCTAGAGTGTCCAATGATTGCCGAAGCAGCTCGTTGCACAAAAGACGTCTTCACATGTAACACGACCTCGGCGAGCACAATTCAAATTAAGCTTCGTTATTGCTCTATAATAATGGGCAAACAGGGCTATAGACTAGGATTAGTAGTGTAAAAGTTATATACTTGCAATGTCTTCAGCAGCAGCAAATTACTAACACATCAGCTTTCAGCAGATAGATTTGCATTGCTAAGTTGCAAACAAATTTCTGAAAGGCCGTCATCGACATGACGGAACTTGAAAAATAAAATACGGTTCTTCATGGTCACTTCAATCGTCAGCCCCAAAATACTACAAATCTGTGAACGATTGTGAACCTCATTTCACCTCAATTCAGCACAACATCAACACTAACTTACAATCTTCACTAATTCTGCCGTTTGCAACTTAGGAAACCGTCTTACAAAAGAAAGCTACGCAATCTGAGGATGTGTGGAATGCTCAAAGTAGTATAACATGGATGCCTGGTCTTTCCCCTCTGTTCACAAGCACAGATCTTGTAAGCGATAAGGGTTGTACATAAGATAAGTAAGCTCTCAAGATTAAAAACTACAACCAAAGAATCAACAAATGCATAAAATCCACACGCTTACTTTTAGAGCCGATATGATTCAGCAATAAATTCGAGACAGTTAAAGCTCAGAACACTAGAACTCCCTACATCCGAGGTTGATTGATTACTATATACTTGGCAGAGCTACTCCAACCATGTTCTTCCCTTGACGTAAATTCCGTCATACACGTCTCCATACGAGCAGAATTAGGCACCCCGCACTTAGCTCGGAAATCCCTAGAATAATCGAAAGAGGAATGACCATGAAAGCTCCAGAAAGCTCACAAGCATTTGAATTCAGCCAGTGGTTAAAGCAGATTTTCTGGAGCCAAGGTATCCGGGGGTTTCATCAGCAGCCAATAAGGCAGGATCATACTTCACGGGCTCTATCTTTAATGCACCGTTCGCTTTCTCTGGTAATGATTGCTTCGAAGGATCAGTGGCGTCCCCCTTAAGCATCTCCACGACCTCTAGCATTGTGGGTCTATTATCAGGGGAGTTTTGAGCACAAAGGGCTGCAACCTGAAAACAATCAAGAAACTGTATCTTTGAGAAGAGCGGAAAGTTAATCACAAAACGTCGATTATTTTTTGAAAAACAAATCAAACGAGTATATGAAAAATTCTCACAGAATTACCTGTACAAGTCTCATTAGCTCCTCTTCATCAAACTTGCCTTGCAACTTGGGATCAACCAGGTCACGGTACCGCCCTTGCAACACTAGAGGTCCGGCCCATTCCACAATTGTTCTTCTTGCAAGGCCAACTCTTTCAATGGGCTTCTTCCCACTGATGAGCTCCAGAGTCAAGATTCCATAGCTGTAGACGTCGCAGCTTTCGGAGACTTTGCCCCACATTGCATACTCGGGTGCCAAATAGCCCAAGGTTCCCTTTACTCCAGTTGTTACATGTGTTGCTCCATCAGGTATCAGCTTCGCAAATCCAAAGTCGGCTACAAGGGCTTCAAAATTCTCGTCCAAAAGAACGTTGCTGGCTTTGACATCACGATGGATGATGTGGGGTGTCGCATGGTGGTGCAAGTACCTGCGATCAAGCAAACAGATCTTTTAAAAGAGAGAAAACCTACTAATATCACTTCGTTGTTGGAACATCAATTCTTGGAAGATTTTAAGTAATGAGGTATACGAAAAAAATGCATACGCGAGCCCCTCCGCAGTTCCAATGGCGATTTTGAATCGGTTCGGCCAGGTTAGGGTGGAGTCGGCCGCAAATTGTCCATGTAAATGCGTCAGCAAGCTCAGCTTGGGCATGTAGTCATATACAATCAAGCGTTCCTGGCCTTCGGAGCAGTAACCTCGTAAGCTTAGCAAATTCTTGTGCCTGACGCGGCCCAAAATCTCAACCTCCACAGCGAATTCCATCTCGGCTCTCGTGCTCCATACTTTAAGCCTTTTCACGGCAATCTGTACTCCAGCAATCCATTTCAGCAACATGGGTATATCATCTCAAAGACACAGAGCGTACCTACACCTGAAGCTCAAAAACTTCACCTTAGTTGGTTTCTAGGTGATATATGCAACATCCGCAAGGTATTTGCGCAATCGCAAGGCCAAATTAAGTACCCCTACTGCATACAATACATTGTTTTAGAAAATTATGTGAAGAGGGTGAAATCTGTCGTACTTGGTCACCACTCGCAAGCTGGCCCCAGTAGACGCTTCCAAATCCTCCCTCTCCCAGCTTATTATCATAGTTGAAGTTGTTTGTAGCGGCATGCAACTCTCGCAGCGAAAATATGCGCCATGCCCCTGCTTTCTTGCCGCCTGCTGAAGACCTGGACAGCCAGATCGACAAAGACTGTTAAAATAGACGTAGCCATTATCCAGACCGTACTCCTAAACCTACATTGTCCAGAACTACATATATAGAAATACATACAATTTTAACAGAACCTAAATTATAAGTAACGAAGTGCGTATGAGATAGAATTGGTTGCTTTAGCTGCTGGTGATCGGTTTCACGCTTAAAATACCGGGGCATTCACTGGGATTCGCTCGCAACTAGCTTGCCAGCTGCTAAAAATGTCGGAGAGGCGGATTAGGCGAGGAACTAAACTACTCTACCACATGTTGAATCGAGATCTCTTTCGACCGTCTTCAAGCTCCACGCCAACACCGAACAAAGGTTGGAGAAAAGAGAAAAAGAGAGACGGAATCGATACCGGTACTTGAGGGAAAGAGCAGCACAAACTCCCAGGACCCCACTAATGAAGCCAATGATCGGGCAAGAACGGTATACTAGTTCCCTGCATTCTTCCTCATCAGCATGTGCGTGCAGCCCATTTACCTTCTTTCCTTTCTAATCGACACTAACAACATTTCCGTACAAGTTTCAGATTCCTCCGTAAAGACCTTCCCAAGCTCATATACAGACACGCCCCCGCCTTAGAACCATCACACGTGACACAAACCTACGCTTACTTCTGTGTCTTGGACCTCCCGAAACACCAGTACTGCTTCCAGAAGATCTGCATCTTCGTCCCCCTACGCAGCCTCCAATTCAGCAAGCCATCACTGCTACCTTCCCACCATCATCTGCAGCAACTTGAACACTGGCGCACAAGATTGTTCAACTTCCAACGATATCATCTTACAGACCAAAAAATAAGCCAAGAGAGACACTCAGATGCCCCGTAACATACTGACGCTTCTCCAAAACGAAATCAGCACTGTTCTCGCTCGTACAGTGCACAACAACGCAGACTCAGAAACCAAGAGTTTCCGCAACTCGCTCTAAACACGCGACCTCTCGGAGGTGGGAGATGAGAGGAAACGAAGACTTCGTTTGCAGGGTACCTGCGACACAAGCCTCAAACTCGGCAATGAACGACGTACCCACTACACTACACCACACCATACCACATCACATCACAATAACGGAACTACAACCAAAGAATGGAGAGAAACTCGGGAAAGTAAAGACAAAGGTAGGCACTTTTTTCTTATGGGGACGCCGGCAGAACGACAAGAGTGGCATTGGGCGCTTCACCTTGCGTCAGCATCCTGAAACCCACTTTCTCCGTCCCTACACTTCTACACTTCTTCTTCTGCCACTACTACTACTACTACTACTTCTTCTTCTTCAGCAACGAGAGCGACCTCCGAGGCCACCACTACCACAACCAGCAGCGGCAGCAGCAGCGACAAGCAGGCAAGGCTGGAGGCAGCGCTGCACATGCTGCAGTGTCCCCTGACGAAAACGCCGCATGCTCTACTTGCTGGATCTCAATGCCAAAAACAACACCTCTTCTGCTGGCTCAGGCTCAGGCTCTGGCTCTCACGCTCACCCTGTCTGGCTTTGGCCGGCTAATGGACATTGCTTTCGCCAGCCTAGTATTCCCAAGCAACAACAGCACATGCGGAATGAGTGAGAGGAGACCCTGATGTGATGCTTCTGCTGCAGCACCTGTCTGTCATTGCTCTTCTTCTACTTGCCCAGAGCTGCTGGCTTTGCTTTGCAACATCCCTCCCTCCCTTTGTACTCACTCACTCTCACTCCTTTGTTTGTTACACACAACCTTTTCTTGTGAGAGGGGTGGAAAGGAGCCTGTGTTGTGTTGCCCTGCCTTTTAGAGCTTATTTTGTGTATGTTGAAGAAAATGTTGGAAATTAAAGTGCAAGGCATGACATTGTTGCAAGACGTGATGGTTTTGCTTGCCTTATCACAAAGAATACCAGGCTACCTAAAGTTTACACAAGGCATGGAAGGAACATGTGAGACTTTTGGTATTCTTAATGAAACAATTTTAACATGTGGATATTTTAGTGTTGACATATGTGTTTATTTATTTACTTATTTATTGATACTATTTGTTGATTTTTTTACAGTTTTATCCAATAATAAGTTAAAATAAGTTAAAATATATTTCAAATAGTTATATACATTTGTTTTATATATATATATACATATACATATATTCAAAGAAAGTTGTAAATAAGGAATTTATGATAGAAAACACTATAACACTAAATTTTAGATCAACTAACATGTGTAAAACTTATTTTGTAATTGACCTGATTTTTAAATAATAATAATTAATTAATCGATTTATTTATATTTACAAATAAGTAAATATATATAACAACAACAATTTTTTTAAATGCAAAAAAATAAAAAATGGTTAATTTTTTAAAAAATAATAATGATAATAATAGTAAAATTTAAGTACTTATATTTTATTTAATTTAAAGTTTTTATTATAAAATAAATATTTAAAATTGAACCAAATACAATTTTTTTTATTTATACTTACTAATTTTATAGCATCTTATCCATGAATCTTTAATATTAGCCTTTAAAACTTAAAAATCTAATAATAAAATAATAATTATAATTGATGGTATTTCTACTATATTTGATAATTTTATTTGTATATGCTTTAAGTTGGTATTAATATTTATCTATATTCTTAAAGAACTATAATTAGTAATATATATATATATATATATATATATAGAATATTTCTATTGGACTAAGCATGTATCAAAAAAATTAAGTCTTTCTTCAAAAACATAATAAAAAATTTAAATTACAAATATTCTCTTTCTGTAATACGAACATAAAACATAAGTATTTAAATCACAAATTGATTGGTTATGTCTAAATAAAGATTTTTTGATCAATTATCTTAAATTAAAATGGTTTCAATTTTATTCTCCTTGCCTCAGCTTTTTATTTTTCAAATACTAATTTTAGAATATCCGTCGTTGTGCAACACTTACAATTTTATGAAATATAGAAATAATAATAATAATAATAATAATAATAATAATAATTTGATTGATTAAAAATAAAAAAATTATATAATCAAAGATAGAATTTTATAAATGAATAATTAAATTATATAAAAATATTTGGAATCAAAATTTGACTTTTATATCTAATAACTGTTTAAGTATTATAAAAAATTAAAGATTTATCTTCATTTATAATGTAAATTTGCTTAAACAATAGTCTAAAAATTATCAAATTTATTATAAAAATATATTTCTATAAGTATAATTTTAAAAATAATGAAGTTATATATATATATATATATATATATATAGCGAGAGAGAGAGAGAGAGAGAGAGAGAGAGAGATACATATATATACATATATATATATATATATATATAAGTGTACATGTAGAGATTTATTTGCAACAATTTACTTCGATATTAATAAATTATGTATTCTTCAAATATTATATATATGTATATATATTAATTTAATAGATAAATAAATAAATAAATAAATAGACACCATGATTTTAATAATGTATTTACTTCAAAAACATTACTTCACTTAGTTTAACTATTAAAAATAATTACAGAATTAAAATGAAATATATTATAAGTAAAACTTTTTAAATTTTATACTTACTAAAATAACTTGTTTACTTGATATATTCAAATTAAGTTTTGTTTTCATATTCTATTAACTTAATCTTAAAAATTAAAAAAATCACTTGTTTTTTATTTTTAACATCCAACAAATGCTATCATGATTGTTTTATTTTAGATCAATTTTTAGTTGTATATATAATTATTAATAAATATGTTACATTTCATTCTTTATGATGTGTGAGTATATATTGTAACTTTTGTGTATCTATTGTATATATATACATTGTAATTTCATAAGTACATTTTTACATAAATTATTTTTATCACCATATTAACAAATATTTTCTTTTTAGGTAAAATTTATCCAATTCTAGTTCTTTTCGACCATTATTTAAATCTATTGCTTCTGTTAATCTTGTTAGAAGGTCTAATCTTAACTATTCCGACTCTCAGAGTCAGTATCTAACGAAAGTCACAGAAGCTTCTGGTTCGCTGAATACAAATTTACGTTCAGGATCCTCTTCTTTGTGGCGGAAGCCGAGAATATGAAACAGTTGCATTTTTTCTCTTCAAAAGACGATTGCTTCTTGTGGTTGGATCTACAGTCTGTGGTTTCTTTCCTGACTTCGATTACAAGCATCCTTATCGCCACCAATAGGGCTTGGTGACATTCCGCCAGTCGGTACTGTAATGTCCTCTTTTAGCTTCATTGTCCGAAGATCACATTGTTGCAGATGCATTATAATCTTGTCTGAATTCGAGTAAGGCCCTGCGACAATAAATTGATTAAGATGCAATTTTTTCAGTATCCAAAACCAATAACTTAACCGTGCGCAGGATATACGTTGTGACGATTATGTGTTTGATGCTCAACCAATTACGCTTGTATTTTGGCTGAGGCTATCAACTACGTTCACCAGCTGCAACTAAAAGAAAGATGCAAAAGTGGTTGAAAGACAATGTTATCAAACAAAAAGTCCAATGTTGGTTGAGGTCCTCACCACAAACCGCTCAGGGAAGGCGAGTGAAAAGAACCATGAGGTGGCCAAGGCTCTGCAGGTGGAGGTAAAGTCATAGGTTGCATGAGTAGAGCTGACATGCCTCCACTGAGCATGATTAGAACCTCGCCTACAGCACCCACGAAGACATTCTTGAGCAACAACCCTAAAACGCAGTACACAAGCGTGTGGTGGAAGATCCTTCACAATACTCCCCCCTGCACACAACTGATCCCTCCCGTCGCCTCTCCAATCACAAGGGAAACCCAGTTATTAAAATTGGTAAAATGGGGCGTAAAAACGAAAAACAAAGTAGGGTTGCTAATGATAAATATGAACATGATAAAAAGAAGTTACACCTTGTATAAAATACGGTCCAGGTGGATGCATTAGTGAGGATCCGAATCCTTGCCGAGGATCATAGACCATCACGGTTGTCACATCAGGTCGGACGATGCTGATGTTCGAACCATTGTTCCCAGCTGCTCCTGCTAATAAGTTCCTTTGCAGCTGCTTCAGATAAACAAATGCATTAGGAAAAGGGGCACTCGAAAAATATCAATCTCGGGAAAAGACCGTTCACAATCTTACGTGGTACAACTCATTCATAAGGCGTAGTTATTCTCAATGACCGTTTCCAAGCTCAGCTGTAGTAGAGAAAGACAATAGTACTCTTCAGTTATGGAAAGGGAATTTAGGTCATCTTGATTTTAACCTGTAACACATCAGCTTGCCTTTTCCATCTTTGACGATAACTTTTGAACATCTGCCAAGTAAATATGAGATCACCACAAGCATTTCAAATTTTTAATAATAAACATAAACTAATGAGCTTTTTCTAAATTCCAACAGCTTCTCCCAACTACAAAAATACCAGAGTCACACTGACAAAAGGACTCAAAAAGTTGTCGACAAAATTTGCATGGGTATACCTGTTGATGAGACATGTGATCAAGATCCAAGAGGTCAAGGAAGCCATATCTTCTGACAAGCTGCTGTAGTGAGGGTTAACAAGGCACATCAACAGAACAAATTCAAGAGTATGATCACTACACAAAGAACTCAAACGAGTTCTTCTGAAACTTCACAGGAATTTCTAATCCAAGCAGCAAAGTAAGGCAGCAGCCATGTTCTGGTGACTACATGAATATACAAATTGAACGTCTTCTTGCTCCAACCATGACATGGTTTTTGAAATGAGACAAAGCACCTGGATATACGTTACAGCAGTGGATGTGACATCATTGATGATGAGAACATTACAAACTGCATTGGCTACCTGTCCAAATTAGAGCAATACACAGATTATCTATAGCCTTCTACATAACAGACTTCACACATAATTACTGAAGTGATTGCAGGGGAAATAAATTCAAGTGATCTGACACCCACCTAACCCATAGAGAACATTCCACAAGGTTTATCACAGACCTTGATTCCACACAAGCTTCTCCAAATTTAGCATATGCAAAATGTTACACTACTGTGACTGTCATGCACAATAGAGATTTTCGTGTGGGCTTCATCAACTCAGTGGCAAATTTCTTAGAAATCACAGCAACTCAATCACAGATAAAACCCATAAA